ATAACGACATGGTAATGCTGACATAACGACATGGTAATGCTGACATGATAACGACATGGTAATGCTGACATAACGACATGGTAATGCTGACATAACGACATGGTAATGCTGACATAACGACATGGTAATGCTGACATGATAACGACATGGTAATGCTGACATAACGACATGGTAATGCTGACATGATAACGACATGGTAATGCTGACATGATAACGACATGGTAATTTCCTCGCGAGTCGGCATCATCGCCGTGGCAGTTGATGCCTTCTTCCGAGATCATGAACGCGAAAAAAGTAGTGAGATGAATCCTGATCGGACGGAATCCCTTCACCTCTTCCAGATCTTCTCCGTGATCACCTTGATGGGTTACCCGCTGTACCTCGTCGGGATTTCGTATCTTCGATTCCGGTTCTGCCGGCCTGGTGGGTTTCTCGGCCGATTCGCCGTTTGTTCTCGGTTTTTCTTCAGAGTAAATGCGGCTGCTGGAGTTGTCCCCCCAATCTGGTTCAGAAAGAATTTCTGGAAGGTTTTCCTCAATCGAACGCTTCCGTGTTTCAGTGGACTCCAACTGCATGATCGGGGCCACTGTCGTCTCCGCCGTTTCCGTCGTGGCGCATTCGCTTCTCATCCATGGAATTCGGAAGGTTTGTACGAAATTTTTTATTTTTAAATTGGGTATGTGGGGGATTTCTGCCCGAAATAATTTCAAATAGAATCGTCCGTCGACGTCCCATCATTTCAATCACATGATGACCCTTGACCTGAGTTTGACCTGATGAGTGTCGACAAGAATCACCTCTCCGTACTTGGTCCAAGTCGGTTGCGATTTAAAAGAGAAATACTTTTAAATAAAGTCTTTAAAGTTCTTTTTTTTTTTAAGGGCAGAATGATATGTGCAAGTCGCCCGAGTTGGATGAAACCGTTAATGGAGAACTTTCTTCTTTTCCCCGTATTGGCTTTTAAATGTTTCAGGCGAAGAGGAAACTGATGATCCCGTGGTTGTGCCTGTATTCCCTTTTCCTGCTCCTCATCCTGTTGTCTGCGGTCATCCTGCTCTTCTCGACGATCCTCTATGGCACATACAGGCATCCCGTCGCCGTGTTCCTCGCCGTCGTGACCGTCTGCCTCCTCGTCAGCTGCCCCGTCGCCATCCACTTCTTCATCGTCGTCTTCTCCTATTTTAGGGTGAGGGGGGAGGGGGGGGGGGGGGGGGTAGCGTTTCTTCATATATTTCGCCAATTGGAATGAAAATGGGTGATTGGTGGCTGAAATTCATTGATATTGGGTTTCGACGCAAATGACTTGATTCGGCTGTCAGAGGGGTGGGGGGAGGATGTCGCTTTTTCCGGAATCGGGTCGAAGAGTTGGGAAAATTTTCCAATTCTTTACATTCAGTGTTTGTTTTAATGAAGGGAGCGTTGCACCAATGCTCAACGAATTGCTCTCGAAGGATCGGTCAACCTTGAAGTTGAAGGTTGACCTAAAATAAATTTATTTTCCTTGCAAAAGCTAGACGTGTCTTAACCATGAAGTTTTCCTAATTAACCCTTCCCAGCCCAATGGCGCCATATGGCCTTCATCGAATTTTCCTGAAAGTTCTAGCAAAGGGAATTTCATCAGTCTTGAAGTTCATTTCTACTTGGTCCTTTCTTTAACGTTGAGACCAAAGGAAGTCATTTCAAGGGCTCCTGGCTTCTGTAAATTAAATTAAATTGAAATTGAATTTTATTCTAAACTCTCGACACCTGACTATTGTTCACTTGGATAGGTGGCTATTTTTTCTCACATATAAAGAAATAAATATTTTTGGAAGGCGATCCTCAAACTCTGGAGTCGAAGATTTGACTTAGACGTTATTGCATTCAGTTAGCTCGATTGGGCTTCAGAGTAATTTTCTGCCTGAAAAAACTTGGACGCCATTTGACGTCATTTGGCGAATCGATGTATGACTTTTGTTCAAACACATATACTGGATATTCTGACATATGTATGACTGCTGCAGTGATTAGATAATTTATATTCACCGTGTTTTTAGCGATTGCTAGCACACAACCGGAAAGGTAACGATCTCCGATTAAATTCCAGGAACTCGAAAACGTGCCGCCACATCGAAAAGGACAGGAAATGGTTTTCCTCGAGGAGCCCATTTACAGCGCGACGTTGGACGAGGATTGAGCCGCGTCGTCCCAGGGACCTCCCTTTCCCCTTCCCGTCGCACGGCCTTAATGCTTTCGCCCGCTTGCTGGTTGGACGGGGATAGCCGTCTTCCTGGATCCTTTTCGTAGCTTCACTTTCGGCTCGGTCGGGTTTGGGATGTGACTTTTGGGATGTGACTTTTGGGGATGTCTGCTGGGACGTTTCTTCCGTTCGAGGACTGTTTTGATTCGTGCTCGGAAATGCGCGCGCGCGGGAACCCATCATGGGTGTTTTTGGTATTGTCCAGAGCTGCCAATGAATGTTTTTGAGACCTCGCCGCTTATGGATGCCTTATTTATTTGTTTTCATAGATTTATCCACCTACAAACGTAATACACTCTCTTAGATAAATGTTTAACCTTTTAAATCCAGACGGATAAAAAGAATTATCGCTTTTTACGATTTTGGTTTGATTAATATTCAGTTAACCAGTTTAAATGGTGATTCACTGTCATTTAATTCCTTAAAAAAAAAAAAGATTTATCATTCCAAAGGTTAAAGCCTCAACCCTTTTGAACGGGGTATATGAAGAGTGCACATTTCAATATGATAAATGAGGGTTGATTCCACAGGGCATGTCGCACCGCCACCGAAAACGCCAAAGACATCCCAAGGCCAACGCAGCAAGTTGGGACAGGGCAATTAAAATGCTTCCAAAGGCGGTACGCTGCAGGAAGCGGCGCCACGATTCGGATGCGATTGTGTGGCTTTTCCCGGGTTTCATCGGCGCTTCATCGGTACTGTGCAGCGATTCTCGAGGTCAGGGCCAATCGTGAGATACACTTAAATTCGAGCCCCAATTAGATCATGATTTAAACCCCCCCAATACGTCATATTACCACCCTATTTTTTCATGCAATTTTGGCAGGTAACGATTCTCTGGTTCTGTTTTCTCACACAGTTTGAAAGATATAATAGCATTTGTCAAAATTATAATAATTTCAGTCAAAATTATGGATGTTGCGACTTCGATGCTGTCTCAACGTTGCATCAACATTGACGTGCAAACCGGGAGATAATCAACTCCAGTTGCATAAACAGCAGATGCAGCTCAGGTCGAGACGGGACTTATTTACTCGAACGTGTGGAATGCGTTCGATGAGGCTGACCCTGCCGTGAATATTTAAGTTGATGCAGAACATTAAGAGATTAGATGTTTTTATGAATAATAAAAAAATTGGTCATTTTAGACGAAAGGGACTAGGCTGACAGGGACTAGTATATGCTAACGATAATTATACGCACTTTTTTTTGGCTTCATGAGAATTAAGAAACGCTCGACCTCGACATGTGGTATCCAAGTGGGCGTTATCGCCTCCTAATACCACGAATCTACCTTGATACCGTGAGAAAACACTTTCGTGCATGCAGAAAGCAAAAAATTGCGAATATTAGGGAGCAAGCAGACAACATGTGTGATATAGTAACAAAAGAGTAAATCCGTGCCCCAGGCACGGATTTATTCGAGGCCACTGCGAATTCCGTGTCAGTCTGGCTGCGTCCAGTTGCGCAGGCGAGTGAGAGTGGTACATCTCTTGTAAGTTTACCTGCTCCATATATCCATATTAGAATGATAATCATATCCGCTTTGACAAATTATTGTATGTATTGCATCACAAATGATCAACATCTCCAGCTTAGGTTCAACGTGAAGCTTTTGAGTCAATGTTTGAGGCCAGTGAACATTCATCCACAGATTCGTACGTTGAAGGACACTTTCTCATGGGTGCATCCCATCTATTTCCATGGGAAGCAAATGAATAATTTATTCTGGAAGGTAACTAGGTCTTGTCAATATGAATTACGTTTCCGGTAAAGCCGGTTAGCGTCTTAAGAATTTGAAGATGCGCTGGGAAATTAACACTTGAAGTTCAGCCGTTAACGCCAGATTTTTTTTCCTTTGGCGAAAAATTCTTATAGATTTTTTTCGTATGACCTAGAACGTGGAAAAAAAGGGAAAGATAAGTACTTCTTCCAATTTGTAACAGGCCTGAACATTTAATTATGTCATATTTTCTACAAGCACCATGTTCAGGTTTTTTAACCCGAGCATAATAGAGGTTAGAGAGCTGAGTCGGTCTGTCAACATTTGCCACAATACCTCAAGGCAAAATAATGTATAAAAATACGGATGAACCTGTACCCTGGACTGGCGTGAAGTTGAAAATAAATGCACCAACAACGTCAGTCCGTCACACGACGAAGGAATGGGGTTTTAAATTGCTTTCCACCATAGCACGTAGCGACCGCCTGGGTACTAGGTGCAAGAACTGGGTCGTCGCTCGTCTGCCACGAACAATTTATCGCTGGAACTCGCTGCTTGAGCATTTTAAGTCTTTTTATTTGGAATGGAGCAATTCTGCTACATCATGCATTAGAGGGTGAAGTTTGCTGCTTTCTTTGGAAAAAAGATAATATTCTTCGATAAATGTGTGCTTGAAATTTCAAGGCGCCATTGATTATGGGCTGCTTTCAAATTACAAATTTGCAAGCAAATTCAAATTTGCTTGGGGACTCATAGGTGAAATGAAATGCTATGATCACGACTCGATTAAAATTTAAAAATGGTGTTCGATTGGATTTCGATCGATTCGGTTTCAAAAAGTACATTTTTGTTCCTCATCAAAATGACATTAAGATATCTAATTAGGGTCTTAATGTATCAGTTTGACTGAATCGGTATGAATTCGTTGCTCGTGAAGTAGAAGATGATAGGAAAAGTAAAGCATATACTACAAGGTTCAAAAAGTTTCGAGACTCGGGTCACCGTGACCGAACGCTGTGTTGCATACCGAAATAAATTATGCTGAGCGTAGTTAGGGTTCCACACTACGTGCATACGAAGGGCACATGGGCTTAACCTCACGTGGCAATGACTGGGTTGCCCCACGTGCAACTCTTCAGCTGTCAAACGGAGGTCCGCATTCACCTTGCGAAGATGTCACGTTTCGAAAAGCGTGCTAATGTGAAATTTTGCCAGAGACTTTGCAAAACGGCTCCAGAGACCTTTGGAATGCTGAGACGGGCGTATCGGGACGAGACAGTCTCGCGCCCTCGAGTGTCTGAGTGGCATCGACGACTCCGAGAAGGCCGTGAGTCCCCGGAAGGTGATGTTGGAGGTGTTCTTCAACCGCGAGGGTATTGTCCATCGTGAGTTCATTCCGGAGGGAAGAACGGTGAATAAAGAGATGTACGTAGATGTGCTGCGGCGTCTCCGAGAAGCAATCCGGAGGAAAAGACCACCGATGTGGGCAGACAAGAATTGGATCCATCTTCACGACAACGCACTAGCGCACAGATCGCTGATGGTGAGCCGTTACTTGCCAGACACTGGCACGGTCTTACTACCACATACGCCCTACTCCCCGGGCCTTTCACCGTACGACTTTCACCTTTTTCCAAGAACGAAGAAGCGCCTTAAGAGACGTAGTTTTTCCTCCATTGTAGAGGTGAAGGAAGCTACGGTGGCGGCACTGAACGGAGTATCTAAAAATGGGTTCCAGTTCTGTTTCGAGGAACATTACAGACGTTGGCAAAAGGGTACAGAAAGCCAGAGCCACTACTTTGAAGGTGACACAGCAACAGTGCCGTAACGCTCACCGTTCGCGTGCCCAGTCTCGAAACTTTTTGAACCTACCTTGTATATAAAGTTTATATAAAGACCTTGAGTGCCCAGAATCCAGAGTTTATGTTATTGCAAACTCCGTTTCTGTCCAAGGACCTAAGTCCTTCTGGAGGATCTTTCCTTCTCGAGATAAATTTGAGCCTTGTTGAGGCGTGCCGGCTTTGGGCACAACAGTAGAAAGAATGGAATCCATTATCTCTTCTCGTGCCGCAGATATTAGCATAAAATGGGCTGTGGGAGAATGAAGATTCCAACTGTGAGGGGACTTTTCTGCGGGTGCATCAACAACAGGGAGGGCAGCATCGTCATTGCAATCACGGGATTGGTATGGTGCAACTTCCAATATGTATTTATTTTCTTTTTCGCATGGTATTTTTTCTGGCATATGCTCTATCTTTTTTCCCTCTATTTCATTCGCAAGAGCAAATTAGAACCTATGATACCCTGGCTGTTATTCTTCCGTATGAGAATTTCACTCAAAATGGCCATTCCATTCATAGTTGCTCAAGTAACAACGATTTTCCAAAAGTTTCAGAAGGAGCTACCTGATTTGCAGCTTTAATGCAGTAAAGAGACTCATATTTGATGGAAGATGAGTTGCCAAATCATGATCCATGAGCTTTATAATACCCTGAAGGTTGGTATTTCCAAATTCTCCCATTTCCATATGTTCCACTCGGCGAATAGAACTTAAGGGAATGAAAACTTTGGCCTCTTTGATCATTCATTTAATCAACTGTTGAAGCGCCTTGCTTTCCAATGCGTTCATTCATGGAAATATTCATTCATCTTTCAAATTAACCCAAAATCTTTTGAATGACGCCTTCCGATCCATTACGAAGTCATAACCTGAAAATTAGGCAGAAAAGGAAAAGAAAAAATATATATTTAGAAGAGCAAACATGTTAAACCATTACATATTAACCCCCTCATTATGTCACACTTGATCTTGTGGCAGTTGATGACCACTTCGACTATATATAGGACCCTATATATGGAAATACAGTGTCCAAGGTAAGTCCGACTCCCAATCCAATTCAATCCAAACAGCAGCTTAAATTATTAGATTGAGATAAAGCATTGACAAACCGGAACGAATGAATTAAAATTTAAATGCATGTGTTCCATTTTGCTCATGCACACACTTTCACAATTTTACTTCTCAACTATTCTCCGTGTCATGACATCAGCTAAAATTCTTGTCTATCTTGGATGAATTCGCATCCTTTAATGATACAGTTATAATATATTCATATTGATGTCATATCATATTCCCGATAATAGAAAAAGTCATTAATGGGAAAGGGTTGTCATCTTGTTTATATGAACATGCTGTTTCGGAGTGCATTCCTTGCAGCTTGATGCCCTCAGTACCTTCGTGACGCACATCGGGTCCCTCGTGGCACATCAGAATCCGGAGCCCAATGGTGGGTTCTCAATAATGATGGGAATTCCTTTAACCCATGGAAATACTTTATTCTTAATATTTCTAAATAAAAAATGTTAATGCTTGATTTATTTGGCGTCTTGACGAAATTCGGCCAAATATACTCTTCTGAAGAAACTCTAATCATATTCTCCTGCCTTTCAGCTGACACCAATTTCGCTATCGCCATGATTGTCGTCTCCGGCATAGGAATCATAATGAATTCCCTCCTCATCCATGGAATTCGCAAGGTTCGTCGGGAAATCTATTCAAAAATGTTAAATTATTAGTCGGTTCGCTAAATATGATTTCAAATTTAATTCTTCTTCAAACCATCCTCTTATCTTTCACACGATGGTGTAATGAAATTTTTTTTCATTACTTGGCATTGATTTTTGACAAAAATTAAGTGAAGACTGCTTCGAAACATCATAGACGCAGAGGGCAGAAGAATAGTTACTTTGCCTGTCATCAAAGTCAGGTGAAACCATTCGCGTAAGATTTATTTTTTACTGAGGTGTCACTGTTTCACTTCTCAGTCGAAGAGGAATCTCATCACTCCTTATTTGTTGGTGGCTCTCGTGCTCCTGATCCTGATGCCGCTGGCCAACGCCGCACTGCTCGTCTTCACAATTCTCGCTGGCATAAATGATGATCCCAACGTCTTCAACCTCGTCTTCTACACCGTCGCCCTCTTCATTATTTATCCATTTCTAATCCATTTCTTCCTTGTCGTCTATTCCTATTTCAAGGTGAGCGAATGCAGTATTTCGAAGTGCGGAATCATGCTGTATTGACAACTTCATTATTTGACTCAACTCGTTTTTTATGTGATCAGGTTCGAAGGGAAGAAAACATGACTCACAGAGCGAGAAGAGCCTTTGAGCCGATTTTTCCTTTGACTGTCCTGTCAGAAAAATTCGACTAAACAAAGAAACCAGAAAAATCGCGATAAGACAATTTGCCTTCCCAATTCAAGACCATCGCACGTCAATATTTTTTTTAAAACTTGAATAAACAACTGCAGTGACGGCAGAAACATCCAGAAATTTATGGACGGATGTAAACACTCTAAACTAAAGTAGCCAGTCTTGCCCTGTATGATGGGTTTCTTTTTAAGGTTGAACAACATATTTGAAGTGCATTATCTCACAATTAGAATTTTTGAGGTTTTGGGGGTCTTGAACTTGGAAGGCGATTTGGGCCCTGGACTCTTTGCCGAAAAACCAAATTCTATGTCCGTATGGACGCAAAATTCGATTCATGAAATCTTTTCCTGCCGCGGTTTCCCTGGTTGAACAGCAAGCTTTTCTATAGCTTAAGTCTGCTGCGCACACCATAGCTGCAAGTGAAAAAGTGTTCATCGTTTTCAGTCTATTTCCGTCGAAACCAGTACGAAATGGGAAAATCATGTTTTCTGGTTAGAGAGCAATTTATTGTTCATATACACTTTCCCTCACAACTTTTTGGGTTAATTATGCTATTTTTTTAACTTGGACATCTCTGGAAATCTCTAGCATCGCCTCGCAGAATTCTCATGAGCATAAAAAATGTGTCAAATGGCTAAAGTTGGTCGCGCTGTCTGAAAAAGCACTCTTGCCGCATTGTTAAAAAAAAAAAAAACTTTCACTGGCGAATGCTTTGATGATTGCATGACACGTGACGGAAATATGATGATCCACATTCAAATTTCAGGAACTTGAAAACGTGGCCCCAATCGGAGCACACGACGGAAACATTCGCCTCGAAGAACCCATCCAATATTCCCCGCGAGACGGGAAGTAAACTCCATCAACCAGATGATTTTCTCTCTCACCTTTCCATTGCATTGTTGTATTTGCCCAGCTGTGGTTGCAGGGACAGCGCATTCTTCCTCGATCCTTCTGGACGACTTCGCCCACTTTGAGTAATTCAGCTCGGTTCCGAATTTGAACGCTTCCGTCAATGTTGGCCAAAGTTGCAACACTTCCTCGCCTGTAGTATGCACATCGGAATCGCATAGATTTTCCGAAAGGCCTGTTAATGTGGATTTTCCTGCGAGACCTTTGTCGAGAGAGACAGCATGGACCGGCGTTCAGTCCTCCTTCACTTTCTTCATTAGCTTGAGTTGTCTTCTCCCTGTCCTCCACCACATCATATGGGAAGTGAAACTGTGGCTGTCGTGGAAGAGTGGAAGCGATGAGCGAACATGTGCATTTCCCTTTCCTGCAATTTCACTTTGAGGAATGATAAGAGTATCGAATTGTATAAATGAAACGTGAAAACTTGTTTTGAAGGAAGGGATGAATAACTTCCTCGAGTCGAAATTTACTCACGGACATGAGGCGGAAGAGGTGAAGTTTTGGTGTTACTCATTGGTTGTGAGACTTTTTGTATTTTAGCAATAAATGAGTGCGAAAAAAATGTTCAATGAATTTTCCCTATGGTTACATTAGGCAGATTATGGGCCTGTTTCGAGTTTCATGAACCATTTCAGTGACGACGCATATTGATTGGCTATCTGGAGTTCCTCGAACCACCTCTTTGGGGTGAAGAAGTCTTTGAACAGAAGAAGTCTTTGAACAGAAATTGTTGAAGATGTCTTTGAACAGAAATTGTTGAAGAAGTCTTTGAACAGAAATTGTTGAAGAAGTCTTTGAACAGAAAGCGTCCGAGATTGAAATGGCTCCCTCATCATGAGGGAATGTCTATGCACTCTATGCCCACATCAATTGGCCACCGCTGACCACTGCTTCAGTCTCAATTCACTCCATGAACTCACTGCAAAAATATATTATGCAAGAGAGAAAAGACGGCCCAGGCACACATACAAAAGCAGAAGCAGTCGTGAATCGGGCATAACTCCAACTCAAAGCGAATTCCAATTTTCCTAATCGAAATGGTGCATCGAAAGCAACAAAATTTCCACTTTCGCAATCTCTAAACAATATCTTTCTTTGGCAGGAATGCTTTTCCCGAAAACATTCCAGGAGAGACTATATTGGGTGGGGGGGGGGGGGGGGGAAACAAGCCCAAAATGGAGTGAATTGAGACTGAAGCAGTGGTCAGCGGTGGCCAATTGATGTGGGCATAGAGTGCATAGACATTCCCTCATGATGAGGGAGCCATTTCAATCTCGGACGCTTTCTGTTCAAAGACCTATATGAATCCCATTTGCCGGTGCGAATATGCATGAGAGTGAAAAGGCATCCACAAGTTCGTTCCTCCAAACGCTGTCAGTGAGGAATGGAGGAGGTTCAATTTTTGACGGGAACGGGATGTCAAGAATGTGAATAGGTGCTCAAGCGCCTATTTGCTCCTCGACTTACACTTACTACTTACCCTCGATTTTCCTTTTATTCGTATAAGAGGTAGTGTAGATGCGATTTTTAGTTTGAAGCGGTCAAATTCCGTTTTGCTTGCAAATTAACATCTTGCCCTCTTGCATCTTCGCGATTCTCGATCTCGAAGGGCCATCATGAGATACACTTAGATTAGAATTAGATTGGATCAAGATGGAAAACCCCAAATGTCGTATCATCACCCTAATTTTCATGCTATTTTTGGCAAAAAGCGATTTTCTGATTCAGATTCCTCACACAGTATGAAAGATAATGGCATTTGTGATTTTCCGTATCAGTTCCAGAGACATTGACCTTCTCATGTAATCTTCATAGATCATTTCTGTATTGGCAATGCATGCAATAGTCGAAAACGCTCTAAACTCACGGAACTGAAACGAAAACGCACGAAATGGCTCACATCCAGCCGGAAGCAAGCACAAAAGCGGGCGGGACGCATGCGACAAGCATAAAGTGGATGATCTGTATCAGACCCTCCTGAACGGATTATCGGATGGATTAACCTTGACGCAGTGACCATGAATTCTCCATGTCATTATCTTCCATTCACGGCGATACGAGCGAAAGCAACATATTTTGCGATCGGTCGCTCATTTTTTTCCCGTTTTCATTCCGTCTGTTAAACACAGAGAATTCGACTCAATGCGCATGCGCAGCCTTCCGCTCGGCCCCCCTATCCCTGGGGGGGAGGGGGAGGGCTGGTGAAGGACTGCAACTGCCAGTCCCCTTCACGCTCTCTCAGCTGACAAATCCATAGGGGAAGAAGGGTGAGAGCGGCTGGTCGTGATTGTATGCTGGGATGCTGGATCTTCTCACGGGACGCCGCATCTGGCACCCCCAATTTTCTCTTCTTGCACGCCAGACCATCCAGGAAATTCTTGAGTTTTCCAGGACAATCCACGCAGGTCAACGACAAACGAATGATAACGTTTTTCAAATTATAATGGTACGATAATGGTAAAGATGTGGCAGCTGAATACGATGATCCGATTTTTGTGCTTTCATCACGACTGCGACAGACCCATTCCGAATTAGATTCGACTCGCATTGCAACCGAAGTGCCCGATGGACCGAGTCTCCTCCTCTCGGAGCCAAGCTTCCAATTGAACTCCTCTCATGAGAAATATTTGAATTTTAAAAGGCAAGTGTACCTTCGAGTACGTTCCCCTTATTATCGTGACGTATTCCTCTTCCGTTCCGTTCTTCCTTTGCGTAAGGGGATTAAGAAGCAACAGTTGCATCGGCAACAGTGTGTTCGTTCTCGTGCTCGAGACACGAATGAGGGAATTACGGAGGAGCGCATTTCCTGCAAGGTTTCGGAAATTTCTGGATTTTTCTGCAATATTCTTCTGTGGCGTTTTTCTGAAACTTTCCGGGTTTTTTTTTTTTCTTCTATCATTACGATTCGGTCTATTTATTGTTCGGGATTATAACAGATGGCTTATTGCAACGATCCATGAAGTAAAATTTCGCGTGATGTGAAACACATATTCCTCTTCTATCGCCAAACTCGATTTCTTTTCGCTCGAATTTTCCATTTGCGGAGACGCTGTTGTTCGGTCCGACGTTCGTGCTTGAGTGTGGCCTTTGAACCCTACATGTGACCTTTAAACCCTACAGGTGACCTTTAAGCCCCTTCTCGCGCCATTCCCTTGGAATTTGCCACAAGTTTCCTTTGTTCCATCGCTTCCTGCGTTGAACTCGAACCTGGCCTCGAAGGCAAATCTTTGTCTGGTGGCTTCACCAATCGATCTTTTATTCGTTCTCTCGCGAATTGGATCGATGTTTCACCGAGCGTTGAGGAACGGAAGAATCCACGAAGCGAGAGAGAAATCAGGAAATTCACGGGAAAATGAGCGAGCCAAATGAATCAGGAAAATGAGTCAAGTGGAGAGATTGGGCAGGGACAACGGACAAAAGCTGTCGGCCTATTGGCCGCCTTTGCGCCCTTTGTACCCCAATTGGCCCACCCCGCCCGCTCGTGGGCCCATTGGCTCGCTCTCCACTCGACCCTCCTCGACAGGGTGAAAATGAATCGTTAGCCCCAGCGAAAGGGGTGTGATGGAGAAGCATAAACCTCTGGTTAGGAAGGGAAACGTGCCACTTGCTCGCTTCAACGACGTGATCGGTTCTGCAATGAAGAACGTTCGATTCAATTAAATTTTCTCGCTTTCACCGAATGCGAGAATGAGAAAAGGCGGAACTCCCTATTTCATAGACATATCCTGTTCTGCCGTGCATCTATGTTCCTTCAATAACAGTCGAGGACGTTTGCTTATTTGTATTTTTTTCGTCCGTGTCGACCAGAGGCTTGCACGGATGGAACTTTGCGAACTCGGCCCTCCCTGCCCGATTTTCGGCCCTCCTGGCCCGATTATCGGTCCTCCCCATCCTTGGGTGGGACCAGCCCTCCCAGCCCGCAACCCGCTTATACCTCTCAGCTGCTCAAGGTCTCCTCTGAACTGTTCCCCCTCACCCGACCCGAAATCTGATACCGGATGGAGCTACGAACCCGATCGGTCCCATCGAGATCTGCATCCCGTGCAGAGTTATTATTTCGTCATCCCATACGCTATGGCGTTTCTAATACGAACGGTGCGCTTCATTTGAATGCCACCCGAGGAAAATCGTTTTACTCAGGCGGTCGAGAATGGAGCCAGTTGGGGGAAACCCGTCCATTTTCTCTGGCTCTCCAACTGCGGCGGGAAGCATTTGATATTTATTTGTAACTGTGAGCCTTAAGTCCTGCAGGACTACGTGACCGACCGCCTTCATCGGTGAGAAATGTTCGCTCGAAACCATATTTGCAACATTTTTTCCTCGAAGAGTTTCAAGCAAAATCATTTCACGACGATTGGAGATTGGCTTTGCTGAGGATTCAGGGTTCAGACCGCGGGAAACGATGTCATTTCTATTCGCTCTTTGAGGAAACCGAAGCAACATCACCTTGGATCAGGAAAATATGTCTTCTAAGCGCTTTTTCCTTCGGACTGCTGCAAAAATTCCTGCAGTTTACGCCACATCAGAAAACCCTGTGAAACACTGTAAGGAGATTTTGTCCCCGAGACGCCACATTTTCAAGGACCGTTACCTGGTGCATTCTTGTATTGAATAGATATAGACTCATCTTGCCTACATATTCATTCCGAAGACTCTCTTTTTTTAAATTTATTTAAAAAGTCTTCTGTCGTGGTATTTACTTCACAGGCTACTGGGGGCGCACTCCCATAGATGGAGGATGGGCGAGGGAGGAAGGAAGAAGAAGGAAGGAAGAAGAAGGAAGGAAGAAGAAGGAAGGAAGAAGGAGGAAGAAAGAAGGAAGAAGAAAGAAGGAGGAAGAAAGAAGGAGGAAGAAAGAAGGAAGAAGGAAGATGGAAGATGGAGAAGGGCAACTGGGCTTCGTCGCTCCAATGTGATCATTGGCCTTGGGGTGACTCTTCCACACGCCAGCTCCCTGCCTCGAAGAGGGATCAGGGGGACACGGCTAGTGTATACCATCATTGGTGGGTGAAAGGAGACTTCCATCGAAGAGTCCTGCTCGTCGTGGGTGATGAAGGCATCAAACTCTGAGCGAATTCTCTGAAGGTAAGTGAGGCATTCGAAGGCTCCACTGAAAATATTTCAATGCGAGGATTTCCTGTTCAATATATTTCGTTCAGGCGGATGAATTCCTGGGATTTTTTCTCTAGTCAAGGCGATAGCAATTGCGATGGATACCGTCATTCAACGGGAGGATTCTATTGACTGTAATGAAGCTCATATTGTTTCAAGATTTTGACTTAAATCGCAATGTTGGAACGCAAGGGAAGAAAGCTCAAGTCGATATTCATATCCAAATATGTCTCATCGGATAAATGTCATCGGATGAGACATCCAGAGAGGACAAGGACATTCACACTAATGCAAAAAGCAAGAATGAGCATTTCACTATGTTACGCCTCGACAATCAAGAAGTTGCTCGCGTGATATCTCTTAACCACATTTCACTATTTCAAAAAAGAAACTCAGAACTGCACACGTCCAGATCCATAGTCCAACGCGCGTGTTCCTTCGTGCCCGCAGACGTTCCCCAGCGTGCTCGGAGGTTGGAATTACCTTTTCCTGGCAAAGTATCGAAAGCAGATCGGGGAAGGATGAGGATTCCAGAGGCGAAGGGATGCTTAGGGTGCTTGAGCAACAGGGATGGCAGCCTCGTCGTGGCCGTTTTCAGGCTGGTGCGTTCAAAGTATTTTTATTTATTTTCATTCATTCCTTTTTCTTTCCTCTTTCATGTTTTCGCTGATGTGATGGAGGAATTTTTTAGTTTCGACTCGTTCGCACTGACAATCGCAAAATGCGTTTCCTGACCGAAGTTGACGTCGTCCAGGGACTCATAGCGTACACAAACGCAGCAATTTGAATATTGATGTAATTCTAATGTGTGGTATAGTGCTGATTCTGCCTGGCATGGTCGGTTGCACTCGGCGATCAAGTGCGCGATACAGAGGAACAGGGACGGATGGTCGTGAGAAGGGCTTAACTTGTTTATCTCCGTCGAGGCAGAAGGCACGGGACATTGTACTGCTTTCTGTAGCTCTCGTGTCACCGTCCTTTTTTTCCATCTCGAGCGCTCGAAAGGCACCAGCGAGCAGCGAAGATCAAACAATTTCTTCTCAGCTTTCGCCCATTTCGGATTTTTTTATTATTAAGACTCAAGGCGCGCCATATTCCTGCAGAATAACAATTTAAAAAATTCAAGTTTTCAGAGTATGAAGCTAAAATCATTTCACCTCAAGAAAACTTGCTTGAAAACCTTCTGGACTCTAAAGCCCTGCATTCTTTTGTAGCCAGGTGAAAGTTTTCTCTAGGGTGTATTATTGGGTCCTTTTTGAGAAGAACGGAAATATAATGAATTTTCAACAAACTTTTGAAGCAAAGGTAATAGAAATTGCCATTGTAATGTTAATTGCAATAATTGAAATGATAATTGAAATGACAATTGTAATGCTACTTGTAATGATAACTGCAATCATAATTGTATTGGTAATTTAAAACTCGGTGACGAAAAGGAAGTGAGAAAAAATCCGATATCATATGAACGCTTGTTAACCGTCATCAAACACAAATAAATGTCTAAAGAAATTATCTCAAATTTCATGTCAGCCGCTGGATGACGTGCTCTCCACAGAGTCTATGTCCATGCAAAATATTACAACCATAGAATTCGGTGGGAATGCTGGCTCAGGGAAGATAAAAGCAGAGAGCTTTCACTTTTTCTGCGGAAAATTCATCCTCCCCCTTCGCAGATGTCACCGATTGCACGATGCTCGACTGCAAGTCACAGTATCATTTAAAAAAAAAAAAATCATTCGGATCGCGTGACTCATTCATGCAGCTTTTACTTTGAAACGAAAGTGATTCGGGATGACGCAAGAAATTAATCGCTGTTAATCGAAATTAATCGCTTTTCCGTGGAACAGGTGAACGACTGCGTTTCCATCCTCTTCTGCCTGACCTTCCTCACCGGGTTCATGGAGATTCCTCGCAGCGCGCCGTCGGGACTCCAAGCCGGTGGGTCCACCAAGCCATCATTTCAAATTTCAATAATGGCTGGGGAAATTTGAATTTAAATTTGCATCGTGCAGCTGCTGAACGAGTGGATATTTTGAAGAGTTTTTGAGAATCTTTAAATTTTTTTTCCATTCCAGGAGTGGGTCAGGTCATCATCGGCGGATTGATCTACTTCCTGGTGTTGATCATCGTTGATTCTCTTCTCCTGCATGGAATTCGCAAGGTTCGTCCCTTCGGTCGTTTAAAATATAGCAGTTCCATTAGACTGTTCTCGCGAACTGCAAATGGGTCCCAGTTTCGGTTCTCATCGAGATCGATTCAAAATCGGAAAAAAGAAATTCGTCGCCAACGTGAGGTGGGTGGTGAAGATCATGAAACAATTTTTTAATGAAACGGTCCAATTTTTTTGTTAGAATCACAGGAAACTGATGATTCCGTGGATGGCGGTGGCGGTGCTGCAGCTGATCGCCGGTCTCGCGATCGCCATCATGGTGTTCCTCGCGGTCGCGGAGGCCGACCGCGGCGTCGGCTACCTCATCGTCATGGTCCTCGCCTTCATCGGGCTCTACTGCGTCGAGATCCACTTGCTCCACGTCGTCTATTCCTACTTCAAGGTCGGTGGCAAGGTCACGAAGAGCCTGCGAATGGCGAATGTCCTTGGAAGTTCGGCGAGATGTCTTCGAGGCACTTTTAAAGAGTATCCATGTCTGGCATGCTTTCCCCTTTTCCGCGAATCTCTGATCATTAAATTAACGATAATTAACCTCATCTTTACTCTCTTGACTCTTACGCGATCTTCGTCGATTCTTAGCTCGAATCGACCATTTGCACTCGCCAAATGATCACAATCTCAAAATGCATTAACTATAATTAACATGGCAACATGGATACGGAATGTGAATCATCATTTCAGGAAATGGGGATTCTGGAGGAATTCGCGCTGGAACGGCACGACGAAGTGGAACTCGGCTCGGCGCAGCTCCAGGCCGCGAAGGAGACCGCGTGAACGCCATCGTCCGATTTTCCCCCCATTTCCTGACTTTCCGATTCCTTTCTCGTGAATTGTCTCACGGAGGAACTTCTTTAACAAAAGAGTTTACGAAGGACCGAGTTTCTTTTCTTTCCACCTGTTCCCAAAGGCTATCCCACCACGAGTTCCATCGACTCGAGGAACGATGACTTCATTCCCCCTTGGATCCGCCCGAAGAAAGTGCAATTGCAACGTGCAAGATACAAAGTATAAAAATGGCGTCAAAATATTTCTAGAAGGTCAATTCCATGACTGGAAACGACGACCGCAGGCGGCAAAATCAAAGCCTATTCGGCAATCAGTCTCTGGACTATGACTTCCTCTATGACTTCTTGGCACGGAGTGATCCTCTTTTGAAAAGTGAGTGACTGCGAGAAGAGACAACCACGCATGCGAATGGCACGTGTGTCGCATCGCCCTCCTCGTGATCCAAACCCAGCAGTGTTCCAGGCCAGTTCGTGCCCGTGGAAACGATCGGAAGGTCGTGAATATCACAAAGAGTGACCGGAAAAAAATTGAGACAACTTGAGGGACTGCGAACGACAGTCCAACTGCACAGAGGTCACCGTGCCCCTCCTAACAGATGACACAAGAGAACACGAGGCCTCTGGGTTGAAGAAGCACCTCACAATTGCATGTATGTCGGAGTGTAGGCCATCTTCCTCTTTGTCAACTTGGAAACATTTTTGTTTTGGGGGTCTACACACTCTGAATATGTTATGGACCTCGCAATGATGCCATTAAAATGGAAAAAATCATGTTATAACTTTATTTTTTCCATGTATATATTCATGGATTGCACGATCAAAAGTGGAAAGATGGTAATAAAAACTGATACTATATCAGGAAAGCCAGTCCTTGATAGCAATTGTAGGGTGCAGGGAACAAGGGTGCCATCAATTGTGGAATCTTGCAATTGGAATCTTGCAATATTGCAATTACCTGAACCCCTTCCCCTTTGGGATTCCCAGTGAGACGTCTCAACATTTCTGCATTTCATCAATTTGTTTCATCAAAGGTGGTTTGGAAAATTCGAACGAAGTTAGAAAATGTTAACAAGAAGATGAGAACCCTCAAGACATTTTTCACGACTTGATCCAAATTGACACTGGTGATTTCCAAGGCAAGATTTGCGGCCGTAAGCTGGAAGAGCAGCTTTCTTTTTTAAGCAACGACAAGAATCCGCTCTGAACTTTCATCGAACGTAGGGTAACAACATCACGAAGTCCTGGTAACAGTTTCATCCTTGATTACACGGATGGGAGGCGACTCTTTGACCTTTAAGTTTACGTGAATGATTGCCAAACATCGATTTTTACTTTTTCTTCACCTAACCGTTCTGATGTATGCTCAAGAGAATTTGATTTATGGCTTCTCTTTTTTTTTGCGGTTTCGAAGGCGGCTTCGGATGACTGTGCGCATCGCAGCTGTCAATACCGGGCGTCCACGCATCATCAACGATAGTCCGATATCGTCGCATTTTTCCCCGTGGATGCGCCCGATTTCCCCCCAGTCATCTGGCCCACGTGACATTGCGATCGTATCCTGCTTCAGTTCATTTCTGCAGTGCCTGTCCCCACCGGAAGGACTGCAGCGAGTGCTCCACTTATCAGGGGGGAAAAATCGCAAAAAGTAGGTGAGACGATTTCCTTTCGCGCAATTCAGAATTTGTGACAGTGAACTTTTAAGAAATCGTTACGACAGAAATACTTTCGTCGGATCGTAATAATGTTCTTCTCGTGTATGGCATTAACCAAACCCTCATCTATTACATCCGTGTCCAAGTGAATCGGTGAATTTCCAACGTAATCCGCCCGTAACGCAACGGGTTTGCGAGATCTAACCCCAGGGTGCGGTTCCCGATGTACATCGAAACCGGGTCGTCAAAGATATTGGAAAATATAATGGAGCCTCGAGAAAAAAAGGTTTTGGGGTCCTTGTCGCAGTAATGATGTCGAATAATGGAGTGATGATGTCGTTTTTTGTAACGACTTGCACATTGTTACGTATTACAGGCGTTTATCTCTCCATCGAAGCAGAAAATGTTCTCGAGAACCACAGCAACCCCGATTGGGTTCGAGGGCAGTCGCATTTTCTTCCGATACATCAGTGCCCTCGCATTGTGCGGTCTCCACTTATACGTCCATGAATTCCAAGAGCGACGCGTTCTGCCGACGCCTGGACGGATTGCAACGGATTGGAAAAAGCGCCTCGCGTTTATATTCATACTTCCAGAGGTGAAGGGAAGGTTTGCGTGCACGATCGAGTCTGCCGCGCGTTTGAATCCCTCGTGGAACGTCACAGTGGCATACACCAATGCATCGATGATCGTGCCTCGATTTCATCGTCATGGTCCTCGCCTTCATCGGGCTCTACTGCGTCGAGATCCACTTGCTCCACGTCGTCTATTCCTACTTCAAGGTCGGTGGCAAGGTCACGAAGAGCCTGCGAATGGCGAATGTCCTTGGACGTTCGGCGAGATATCTTCGAGGCACTTTTAAAGAGTATCCATGTCTGGCATGTTTTCCCCTTTTCCGCGAATCTCTGATCATTAAATTAACGATAATTAACCTCATCTTTACTCTCTTGACTCTTACGCGATCTTCGTCGAATCGACCATCTGCACCCGCCAAATGATCACAATCTCAAAATGCATTAACTATAATTAACATGGCAACATGGATACGGAATGTGAATCATCATTTCAGGAAATGGGGATTCTGGAGGAATTCGCGCAGGAACGGCACGACGAAGTGGAACTCGGCTCGGCGCAGCTCCAGGCCGCGAAGGAGACCGCGTGAACGCCATCGTCCGATTTTCCCCCCGCCATTTCCTGCCCTTCCGATTCCTTTCTCGTGAATTGTCTCACGTAGGAAGTTCTTTAACAGAAGAGTTTACGAAGGACCGAGTTTCTTGTCTTTCCACCTGTTCCCAAAAGCACCACGAGTTCCATCGACTCGTGGAACAATGACTTCTTTCCCCCTGGAATCCGCCCGAAGAAAGTGCAATTGCAACGTGCAAAATACAAAGTATAAAAATGGCGTCAAAATATTTCTAGCAGGTCAATTCCATGACTGGATACGACGACCGCATGCGGCAAAAGTCAAAATCTATACGGCAATCAGTCTCTGGACTATGACTTCTTCTGAGTCTATGACTTCTCGGCACGGAGTGATCCTCTTTGGAAAAGTGAGAGACTGCGAGAAGAGACACGTACCGGATGGGAATGGCGCGTATGTCGCATCGCCCTCTTCGTGGTCCAAACCCAGCAGTGTTCCAGGCCAGTTCGTGACCGTGGAAACGATCAGAAGGGCGTGAATATCACAAAGAGTGACCGGAAAAAGGCACTTATTGAGACAACTTGGGGGAATTCGAACGACAGTCCAACTGCACAGAGGTCACCGTGCCCCTCCTGACAGATGACACAAAAGAGCACGAGGCCTCTGGGTTGAAGAAGCACCTCACAATTGCATGTATGTCGGAGTGTAGGCCATCTTCCTCTTTGTCGACATGGAAATATTTTTGTTTTCGGTGTTTTCACATTTTGAGTATGTTATGGACCTCGCAATGATGCTTTTGAAATGGAACAAAACAAATAATAATTTGATGCTTTCCATGGATATATTCATGGATTGCACGCTCAGATGTGGAAGGATGGTAAAAAAAAAAAGATAAAATATCAGGAAAACCAGTATTTAATTGCATTTGTAGAGTGCAGGGAACAACGACGCCATCTAGTAAGTAATCTTGATACTGCAATTACGGGAACCCCTTCTCCTTTGGGATTTTCACATTTACACGGCTCAACATTTCCCCATTTCATCAATTTTGTTCGTCAAAGGAGGTTTGGAAAATTCGAATGAAGTTAGAAAAAGTTAGCAAAAAGATGAGAACCCTCACAACATTTTCCACGACTTGATTCAAATTGACACTGGTGATTTCCCCGGCAAAATTTGCGGCCGTAAGCTGGAAGAGCAGCTTTCTTTTTTAAGCAATGCCATGAATCCGCTCCGAACTTTCATCGAACAACATCACGAAGTCCTGGTAACAGTTTCATCCTTGATTAAACGGATGGGAGGCGACTCTTTGATCATTAAGTTTACGTGAATGCCATGGTGGATGCCAAACATCGATTTTTAGTTTTTTTTCACCGAACCGTTCTGATGTATGCTCAAGAGAAGCTGATTTATGGCTTTTCTTTTGGCATATGGCTTTTCCTTCTGACTAGGGGTGGGTCAGACGACTCTCTCAGTGCAAGAGCATCGAATTCCCTGGTGTCAAGATTGTCCCCGTTTTCCCCAATGTCAAGATTGATTCCTCACACCCTCTCTACGTGTTGCAGGATCCTGTGGGTTTGCAATTATCTGTACTTGATCGCTTTCAATTCCGAGACTTCGCGCGACGGTCGGATTTCCTCTTGGAGTGAGTTGTGGATATTGCGGTTTCGAAGGCGGCTTCGGATGACCGTGCGCATCGCAGCTGTCCATACCGGGCGTCCACGCATCATCAACGATGGTCTGCCATCGTCGCGTTTTTCCCCGTGGATGCGCCCGATTTCCCCCAGTCATCTGACCCACGTGACATTCCGATCGTATCCTGCTTCAGTTCATTTCTGCAGTGCCTGTCCCCACAAGGACAGCAGCGAGTGCTCCACTTTCAAGGGGGGGGGGGGGAAATCAAGGACAGCAGCGAGTGCTCCACTTTCAAGGGGGGGGGGGGGGGAAATCGCAAAAAGTAGGTGAGACGATTTCCTATCGCGCGATTCAGGATTTGTGTTGGTGAACTTTTCAGAAATCGTTACGACTGAAAAACTTTCGTCGGATCGTAATAATAATGTTTTCCTTGTGTATTGCATTTACCAAAACCTCATCAATTACATCCGGGTCCAAGCGAACCGGGTAATTTCCAACGTAATCCGCCTGTAAAACAAAGGGTTTGTAAACTCTAACCCCAGGGAGCGGATCTCGACGTGCATC